CTGGCTCTGATTCCATAACTTTAGCCTACTTCAGGCCTCCTCTTAGGATGCTTGCCCTATATCCTGTAATAGTTGGGTGGTCTGAACTCATGCAGAGGTCTCTTACCCTTGGAGTGCACTCTAGTGGTTGGTGGTCCAACCAAAAATGGTTCTTGTCTGGAACCAGTTGGATATGGCCTCATATTGTAAGTATTGGTTGATTTAAAGCATTTCTACACATCTTTATAATATTGTTTTCCAGGAATTGGGAGACCTTTCAACCATTTGTAACTTAACTTGCATCTGGGACACATCCTTTGCATGACAGTTGTCTCTAGAAAGTCATCATCCAGTGCCTCCTTACTAGAGTCCTCCTTTTGGCCTGCAAAGCTCTGTCCATCTGTTGGTGAACTTCTGATATCTTTCTTGGAAGCAGTCTGGCTGGCAAAATACATCTGTACATTAACCTCCTCCAATTCCTTCAAGGATAGGTTTTGGAAGTCAGGCACACCAACATTGGCTATAACTTCCCCAATCTCTGGGAATGTGTTAGTGTCAATTTCCATAGCTTTCTTTGCTTTGGCTGGGAACTTTAAACTCCCTTTTCGAATCTGTTCTTGGATCTTGTCCCGGAAAACAATACAGTTTTTAGTTGAGTGAGACCAAGAATTATGCCATTTACAATACATTTTCCCTTTAAGTTCTTTTGGAGAAGGAATTTTAACTCCCTTTGGTAACTTTAGGATATTTGCTGCAAGCAAATGATCAAACATGTCATCTGTCTTTGTTAAATCGAAAAAAGTATTTCCTATGAAGGTATTTTTTTTAAACTGCTGGTCTATTATAGTGCCTTTACAAATTAATACCTCACAGATCACAGGCTCTTTCTTTCCTTACGATCTTTGCTGCATCAATCTCATAATTAGTATCTCTATAAGTCTTGTATGATGCATTACTTCGATCAGCCCTTTGACTGAAGCTTGCCAAGTTTGCCATGGAAACTTCTGGCTCCGTTTGGAAGAATTGGGCATGAAATGCCTCCTCCATTTGCTACCAAGTTTGGATAGAGTCAGGTATAAGGTTAATATACCATACAAAAGCTACCCCAGTTAGAGAATTTGAAAAAGTCTTAACCTCATATCATTATTGGTAAATTCACCACATTGGGCAGTGAACCTAGAAATGTGTTCTACTGTTAACTGGTTTCCATTCCTATAAAAAAGAGCAAAGTTTGGTATTCTAAACCCCTTTGGGTATTCATGCACCTTATCTACCCATTCTGAGTATGGCTTCCTATACACAGGAGTTTGAACCCCTTGAGCCATAGGTCCACACATTTCTCTGACAATATCAGCAATTTGGACCCTAGGAACCATATTTTGTGCTTGTTGGACTACCACTGGAGGAACAAACACAGGATTTGGTGGAAAACCTTGTGCCTAAAGTCCTCTTGGTCCATAGAGAGGTATATTTGGGACTAGCTGTCCCTGTGGTACTGGCTGCTGTTGAGGGTATGGTTGACCTCTCTGAGCCTGTCCTACGAAAGGACCTGCGAAAGGTGCTATAATAGGAGGAACATGTGTTGTTTCTCTCCCAGCCATAGTAAACCCTTCCAACCCCCCGGGTGTGAATTCGATCAAGGGATTAGTAAATCCCCTTGTGTCAGGTATGGCATCAAACATAGGATTTGGAAACATTCTCATGCCATTTTCTTGTGTTGGTCCAGATCCACCAATTTGTATGGCTTCGCTATTAGGTAATGAGGCATTTTGATTATCATAGGCCTCGAAAGAGGCTCATACCAAAACTGAGGTATAGGTGATGGTCTTTCATAATTTTGATTACTAGTCTGACCATTAGTATGTCCATTACTTTGCAAAGGCTGTTTATCTCTAGCCAATCTTTGTTAAAGAACATTTGAATTTTCCTCTATATGCCTCGTGTTAGTTGGTTGATGGGAATTCATCCGATCCATAAAGGATATTGCCCATCTTTCCATTGTGTTCATTAACTGCTATCCCATGACATCTACCAGGCCTCCTTATGGATTCATTGGTTGAGTAGATGGAACAGTGGATGGTCTAATTCCATGGCCTCATCCAATATTTTGAACATGTGGTGCATGTTCTAAATTACTGGTTTGTTTGACCATAGGTTTTGATAAGATAGGTGCTTTCATAGGATGTGTTATCACATTATCCTTTGGATCAAGTACCTCTACCTCTCCTTCATCACCTTCTTCTAGGCATTCACTTTCTCATTGTCTCCTACGTCTAGCCATTTCAATTAGTCCCACTAGGCGTGCCAAAAATATATGTTGGCTTTTTTGGCTTTCGAAAGTTAATATTGCAATTTTAAGCGTGCCAGTAAGAATCAATCAGTCATTACAGAAGATTAATTGCCAACCAATTATCCAATAATTATGTGTTAGTTCTTTCAGCCTCAATGAAGAGGACTTTTACTGGTGGCTTGTTTAGGAGAATTTAGTAAATAACAACTAAATGAAGAATAATTTCAAAATTTCATTAAATAAAATGAAAAACTTACAATGATCTGACCCAGCCTCGTAGAGGTTTACAGCAACAAGCTATTTGAAACTACTCCTATGAATGAAGTGTAGTACAGGAATTTGAAATGCAGAAATGTAAAGAATTGTAAAAACTTGAAGAAAAAACAAAGTAAATAAAACTGGTTTTTTGATTTGAGTCTGAATCTTTCATTCTAGGGCCGTCTTTGCTATTTATACTTCTCAATGACAACCGTTGAAGTGGGGCTTCCAACCGTCGAAATGTCCTCCCATGATTGCTGAACATGCTCTCTCACAGTCAGTTCCTCTACGCCACATTTGCAGTTAGGCTTCCCTCCTGATTTCGAATTTGAACTTTGTGAGTAATCGTTAGGCCACATTACCTTATATTCTTTTATTGTTCCAGTGCTACGCAGACCCATTATTATCAATATGGGCTGACACATGTCTGACTATGGTTGACAACTTGTATTAACTTCCCAAATTGTCCTATCCATGCCACGTGTTGAATTGTGATTGACTTTTACAAATTATACAGCCAACAATTAACTTTCAGTTTCAAAAATAATGATATATCAATCTAGTTTTTCAATTTTAAATATCTTGGGATGATACCATCCATATGTATTCTTATTACATATTTTTGTGATAAATTTTGTGCATTTTCTAGTAGATATATGATAATTTATAATTTAAAAATTAAGTTATACATTTTGTGGTAATGTTACATATTTTTATGGTAATATTATATTTTTTTATTCAAACATTTTTAATCACAAAATATGTAACATAACCTTAAAAATGTTTAAGTTCATTTTTAAATCACAAATTATCATTACCCTATCAAAAATTATGTAATATTTATTATAAAAATACGTAATATACACCATAAAAATATAGGATGCATATAGAATTTCTGTAAAGATATATCAATTTGACTTGTATTTTCAAAAAACCCCTTATCATATCATTCTGATACATATTTAAGGATAAATTTTATATTTGTGAATCATTTTCCTTATTAGAATGCAAACATTGTTGGTGATTAGCGTAAGCTAAGAATTATGAACACATTCTAGCTACGACTTCCAAACATTTTATGACACGTATTCTAACTTGTTTTATAATTGTAAAAATATTTAGACAAATTGCAGAAGAGACGTTCCTATCATTTAAACATATGAAAACTTTAGAAGTTTAAAGAGAATACTTTAGAATTGAATAATGAAATATATATATATATATATATATATTAATATTCACTATTGATTTCAAGAATTAATATTATGTTATGTTTTAATGAATAAATAAAACTACGAATAAATAAAATCATTTAAAATATGGTATATATACACCATATTCACTAACAGGAATAAGAAAAGTGATATACGAAAAAGAAAAAGGAAAAAGAAAATAATGTGTTTAACTCCATAAAAATTAATATAGATATTTCAACAAAATAATTTCACTACAAGAATTTTCACTTTTGGCGACTAAATTTTTAGTCGCCAAAAGTCATTTTTTAGTCGCCTATAATCTTTAGCGACTAAATTTTTTGGTCGAAAAATTAGTAGCCGAAGAGTAGTCGGGAAAGCTAATTGGCAACTAAACTTAATTTAGTCGCCCAATGTATTCATTTGCCGACTAAATATTTAGTCGCCAATAGGTTGGAAAATTAATTAAATAATACATTTTTGCCGACTAATTTTTTTGTCACCAAAAGCCAATTATTTAGTCGCAAAAATTTTTTTAGGTACTAAATTTTTTAGTCGTTGAAAGGAAATACTAGTGTTTTGGCTACTAGAATTTTAGTCGCCTAAAGTCATTCTTTTTTTGCTACTAAAATTTTAGTCGGCAAATACTATTTCTTTAAGCTACTAAAAATTTAGTCGCCAAAACTTTCACATTTTTTGTTACTAAATTTTTAGTCGCCAAAAGTATTTTTATTCTTCCACTTTTGTTTTTAGCTACAAAATATTTTAGTCGTCAAATGTTTGATTTTTTTTTTTTGCTACAAAACTTTTAGTAGCCAAAAGGTTTAATTTTCTTTTGGCTACTAAACATTTAGTAGTCAAATGGTTGTTTTTCTTTTGCCTACAAAAAATTTAGTAGCTAAATGTTTGATTTTCTTTTGGCTACAAAACTTTTAGTAGCCAAATGTTTGTTGTTTTTTTTTTTTTCTTTTTTTCCTTTTTATTGGCTACAAAACGTTTAGTCGGCAAAAACATGATATTATCATTTATTGCGAATATTATAACGTGTCTGTAACCTGTCTGTATTCCATGCAACCTGCAATACATATATAAATAAAATGATGCATAAACTATCAATCATTCCACAATCTGCATCCGCATACAAAAAATAAATTACTTTAACTATCCAAGTACATACAAACCAACTATTGTCCAAACTAAAATAATAATTCCATACAACATATAGAATCATACAAAAAGTAAAGCCCTCTATATACAAAAATTACATTTATTATACCATGTGAAATGACCATTTGGCATGGTACAAATTACCACCGTAATCTGTACCACGACAAAAGGTGATGTATGTACCAAGCCAAAAATACATCTATGTACCACGACAAAAATTATATACCTGTATGGCATCAAAATGTAATCTATCTACCATGCCAGGAATTAGCTGTTCACTACCAAAAGTTTTCTGTATCAGTAATAGTTAACTGTACAAAAGCTGGAGACGACAAAAGTATTATATTACTTCTATACAAAAATGCAATTTCTTCTCCATACACCAAAATATCTCTGCAAGTCCACGCAACAAAGTCATCTACAAAAAAAAAATAATAATAATAATTAGAATTGGACCAAAAAATGCCTAACTTCATGAATGAATTTGGGAACAAGTGACAAATAAAAATAAGTGAGAAGCAATCTTCCATGATGAATCAATTATCATTCATTGTACAGTCTTTCTAAAGTCTTTTGTTATAAGGAACATTGTTAAATACAGAACAATCATTACTAAATCTTTCATTAGTAACATAAAGCTAATGTAACAATCTTCTATTTGTATGCAACATGTATCCAAAAATTATGTGGCTAAACCAATATCAAAGCCCAATGTGAATAGAAAGTATTCTTTTTACCAACTGTACGGGGAGCAAATATTCCGGCGTGCCCGTATTCCTTTCTTCCGAGCTCCGTCGATACCCGATCACCTGCGAGCAAATAACGGTGAGCTACCCGGCGGTGTGTGGCCGGAAACACCCTCCGACGATCAAGTTAGCACACACCTTAGGATGGATAGAGAGAAGGGAGAGAGTGTTTGAGTGTAAGAAATTCCTTACAGAGTGTTCGTGTGTCGCGTATGGGGGGCGCAGACATGCTTATATACCTTCTGAGCCCCATATCCACTCCCTGTCATCTCCTGACACGTGGCTCTGCTATCCCATCTGTCAGCATAAACCATGCCGTTCATCACCTGCTCTCAACTGCCTGTCAGCATAGCTGGAGCTCGGCAGCCGAGCTGCCCTACCTCGGTCATACCATGCTTCATACCTTAAGCGCCTAACCGGATAACCGAATGAAGGACCGGGCTAGGCGGCATCTCGCCAAAGCTTAGCCCGGGCTCCTCCTTTGGTCGGCCTTCTCGCCGGTCAGTCAACTACCTCGGCTGACCGCGCCTTTCCGAGCGCCGGCCTCTCGGTCTGTCTGGTCTCGACAATCCTCGGACCGAGCATCCTGGTCTGACCGGTCACTTCCTGGCCGAGCAGCTTCTGCACGGTCCGAGGCAGCACAGTCCAAACTCTGCCCGGCCCAAGTTCTGGTTGCCCATCTCCGGGTGAACAGTCAATCATCTCGGCCCAATGCTCTGCTGGGCCCTCAACTTGTTCGGTCTATACCTCGGCCCAACACCGGAGCATAAATCACCCTCTCACCAACTTCCTCATTATTTGTTTGCAAAAGGCACTTGAATCATTAGATTGGACATAAAGCCATCGGTACTTATTAATGTATATCAGTGTCATGTAAGAAAGGATATTAGAATATGTGATAAAAATAATAACAAAAATAATTTTCAATCATAAAAGGAAATATGTAAAAATATATGTTGAGACACCTATAAATGGTTCCAATAAAGAAAGAATACTTGATTTCTCATGACACACATGGCCTCAGAAACACCATGAGCATGTTTCATACCTGTATGAAAGCTTAAATATAAAATAACATACGTGTGTGCGTTCAAAAAATTAGCAAGTTTAAAACAAGGCGTAAACTGAGTTCATATTGGTTTCTGAATATTTTTCCATAATTTTCCATTACTATACATCTCCAATACATTCCGTCAGTTGTCACAAGTCCTATTTGTAATGGGGAAGCTGCCCGTGAGAGTCAGACGGAGGTTCAAGGGCTGTTTTGAAGTTTTGCCCCCGAAACGCCCTTTTTCGACTAAGTTTTCGGCGTATTCGACTCTAAATCCCTACTTACGAGTCCGAATAACATTTCGTCAGTTGGCACAAGTTATATTTGGCATGGGGAAGCTGTTTGTGTCAGCCACACGGCGGTTCAAGGGCTGTTTTGAAATTGTGCCCCCGAAACGCCATTTTTCGACTAAGTTTTGAGCGTATTCGTCTCTAAATCCCAACCTATGGGTCCGAATAACATTCCTTCAGTTGTCACAAGTCCTATTTGGCATGGGAAAGCTGTTCATTTCGGCCACACGGCGGTTCAAAGGCTGTTTTGAATTTTCGCCCCCAAAAGGCCGTTTTTCGACTAAGTTTTGGGCGTAATCGGCTCTAAATCCCAACATATGGGTCCGAATAACATTCCGTCACTTGTAATAAGTCATATTTGGCATGGGAAAGCTGTTCGTGCTGGCCACACGGTGGTTCTGGAGCTGTTTTGAATTTTCGCCCCCAAAACGTCCTTTTTCGACTAAGTTTTGGGCGTGTTCGGCTCTAAATCCCAACCTATGGGTCTGAATAACATTCTGTTAGATGTCACACGTCCTCATTGGCATGGGGAAGCTATCCGTGTCGGCTACACGGAGGTTCGGAGGCTGTTTTGAATTGTCGCCCCCAAAACGCTGTTTTTCGACTAGGTTTTGGCGTATTCGTCTCTAAATCCCAACCTACGGGTCCTAATAACATTCCGTCAGTTGTCACATGTCATATTTGGCATGGGGAAGCTGTTCGTGTCGGCCACACGGCGGTTCTGGGGCTGTTTCGAATTTTTGCCCCTGAAACGCCCTTTTTTGACTGAGTTTTGGGCGTATTCGGCTCTAAATCCCAACCTACGGGTCCGAATAATATTCTGTCAGATGTCACACATCCTAATTGGCATGGGGAAGTTGCCCGTGTCGGCCACACGGAGGTTTGGGGGCTGTTTTGAATTGTAGCCCCCGAAACGTCATTTTTCTACTAAGTTTTTGGTGTATTCGCCTCTAAATCCCAACCTACGGGTCCGAATAACATTCCGTCAGTTCTCACAAGTGATATTTGGCATGGAGAAGCTGTTCATGTCAGCCACGCGGCAGTTCAAGGCTTATTTTGAATTTTCGCCCTCGAAACGTCGTTTTCAATTAAGTTTTGGGCATATTCGTCTCTAAATCCCAACCTACGGGTCCGAATTACATTCCGTCAGTTGTCACAAGTCCTATTTATTATGGGGAAGCTGCCCGTGAGAGTCACATGGTGGTTCGGGGGCTGTTTTGAATTTTCGCCCCTGAAACGCCCTTGTTCGAGTAAGTTTTTGGCGTATTTGGCTCTAACTCGCAACCTACGGGTCCGAATAACATTCCATCAATTGTCACAAGTCATATTTGTCATGGGAAAGCTGTCCATGAGAGCCACACGGTCGTTCAAGGGCTGTTTTCAATTTTCGCCCCTTAATACCCTTTTTTAGTTAAGTATAAGGCGTTTGTGGCTCTAAATCCTAACTTACATGTGCTAATTACATTCCGTCTGTTGCCACAAGTCCTATTTACCACGGGGAAGGTGATCGTGACATTTGTACGGTGGTTTGGGGGCTGATTCGCATTTTCGCCCCGTTAACGCCCTTTTTTGGTTAAGTTTTATGCGTTTTTTGCTCTAACTCCCAAACTACGTGTGCTAATTACATTCCATCTGTTGTGACAGGTCCTATTTGTGACGGGGAAGGTGGCCGTGACATCCGTAGGATGGTTCAGGGACTGTTTCCCATTTTCGCCCCCTTATTGCCCTTTTTCGGTTAAGTTTAATGCATTTTCGGTTTAAAAGCATTGAATCAAAGTCCAAACAGAGTTTTATAAGCTAGAAAGTGTCATTTCATCAACTCTAAGCACTAGAAATGCAAATAGACTCAAACCTTGACGGCCAAAGTAATTTGTCCACAAATGTTTTTAGTAATTTCCAAGTAATGTTTGACAACCAAGAGTAGAGTCACAAATTCATATAATTAATTTGATATAAACATTCAAGTATTAAGAAAAATGAAGAAAATGAGGAAGGTGTCCCCACCTTTATGTAGTTGTAGGAGATGCTTTATGAGTTAAGCTTTATGTCCCTACCTTTATGCTTTATGAGATGCTTTAAATCAATATTAAATCAGCACATATTGTGATGCTCATCTATCCATTCTCAGCAAATGAGTTAAAACCTGCAATAGGAAAATGGAAGCTACCTATGGAATGACTTTAACAAATCCAAGGCGAACCTAGGTGAAATGCAATAACAGAGGATCTTAAAACCATCATAAAAATTCTACCCATAATCTAAATCCATTGGAACTTTCAATTTGTCGATAGATATTCAAAATGATATTATGAAGTCAATAATGATAAATAAGAACAAGAAAGACCCATATGGCAAATCAAAAGACTACAAAACCTAGGATTTTCATTAAGGATGCAGGGTGACTTCTACTAATTGTGTGCAAAATAACAACCAAACACACAGATGAACCAAAATAACAACCAAATCAAAATTCTAATTCAAATGTAAATTATAATCTAAATTCTAATTCACACCCAATTAACTAAATCACCAAAAAAAAAACCCAGATATCCAAAAAAGGAAAATTACAACCAGTTGAACTCAACTTTATGGGAACTTGAGCATCTTGAACAAGTGAAATTTCATGACAACACCTATTTTCCTTAAGTGAGAACCATTCTACTAGTGAATCTGCAAATCTACGTGTATAAAATTTGGTATTTGGCCACCTAATTTTCAAACTTATTGACAAGTATAAAACTCCAATTGATGTGTGTCTCCATTCGTAACATGAATCTTCCAAACATGTACCAAAAGGCTCAAAGCATAACGAATGAAGAGCATTACTGAATATTCATTCACACAGTCAATTATTATGCTACTAACAAGAAGCTTATGTTAAGATTAGGAAGGAATCTAGTGACACAAAGATGAACATAAACTTGGAATAAAAAAAGTGAACCACCACCAAGAGTAACAAATGGATAGCAAGATGAGCAAAATAATGCTAATTACTTGAGTTCTGAAAAATTGGAAAGAAGATGCTTAAATAGTTTATTTTCAAACACTACTCCTTAATCTTATACAACACTTAATCTTATACATATCCTAAATTCTTTACAATAGCACCTCAAATTTGAAAGATGCATAAACCAATTTTTTTTGACAATTTGTAGATATAGATATGTATAGTCAACTAAATAGTTCGATATGGCTGCACTGACAAAGTGAATCATATCATAGTAAAGATTTTTAGTGCAAAAGCTAACAAAAATATTATGTTACCACGATACATTGATGCACCCCTAGAAAATCCACTACTTTTCCTGAAATTTATTACTGGAAGAAGAAAGCTAGTGACTAGATGATTTTCTTAGCACTTACAAAGTACCATGCTTGACCAATAAAAAGTGAACCAGTATGACAGTAAAGATTTTTAGTGCAAAAGCTAACAAAAATATTATGTCACTGAATTCTCATCACCTATTTTTTGTTTACATCTATCTTGTTGAAGATTGATTCGTATTTAGAAGAAATTATTTAACCAAAATAAAAAAATAAAATAACAGTCATAGCTTGTGATGGATGTGGTGAAATAAAATGGTAAGAAAAATTGATTATAAGATATATGACACTCACTCACTCTTCTTCAAGTACAAAGGGGGAGGATAAATGCAACTAGCTATACATGATTCATAGTTACCTTCTAATTGAGGCTACAAATTCTTGCCTGGTCATGTGTTTCATCTCCTCAAGTTCCTTTTCGTAATTACTGATCTGCAATTTCAAATGTATTAATTCATTTTAATATGTGACAGTAAAAAACATTAGAACTATTATTTGATTTTTCTAAAAATCTTCAATGCACCACAAAAGCATACAGGGAAGTTTGTAGTGGTAGATGTTCCCCAGTACTTCAGTGCAACCATATCATAAGCCCTAGCTGCTTTCTCTTCTTTGTCATACCCACCTGCTCAAATTAAAATTAAAATAAAACCAGAGCAGATCAAATCGCAATAAAGTCAAAACCCTACAGTGGAGAGATTGAGGGAGAACCAGAGCAGCTCAGCGATGAATTGTTCGTCATCGCGTCGTTGTTTGTCGATTTGGGGATACAATAAGCGAAAGAGAATGCGAGACTGAAAGACAGAGCGAGAGATAACCTGGTATTGCGACGGTAGCGGTGGTGATTTACAGCAGTGGCGATGTGCAACGTTGAATGCTTCCCAGTGGTGAGCGCCTGAGGTAAGGTGAGGTGTGGTGGTGACTAATTGTGTGCGAGAGAGAGAAGTGTTTTGTATTCCTAAATAGAGGAGAATACCTGCGCGGGCAACAAATAGCTTTTTACTTTCCCACTATAATTTTGGCACCTTTGGCGACTAATGTAAAATTTTGTCAGCAAAAATTGAAGTAATAACGACTAAATTATTTAGTAGCCAAACCAACTCCAACAACGACTAAAATGTTAGTTGCTAAAAGTAGAAACTTTATATTTGCCGACCAAATTTTTTGTAGCCAAAGGTTTACTTAACAACGACGAAAATATTAGTCGCCAAAAGTACTATTTGGCAACTAAATTTAAATTTTGTCGCCAATAAGTAATATTCATTGACTAAAATATTTTAGTACCGGTATCTTGAATCAATAGGACAATTCAATAAGCTGGCACGATCAATAGGACAATCCAATATTTTAGTACCAGTATTTTCGTACCATCACGACGCATCCACAACAGCATCAAGGCAGCAGCAGCAACACACAGCTGGCAGCAACCAGAATCAAGAAACAGCAAGCAACCAGCAACACATCAAGCAACTACCCCTTCCTTCAAAACAGTAACAGAAATAGCAGCAGCAACAGCATCTAGAATCTTAGCAGACAACAATTGGGACAATATCCACCAAATCGGATAGCTTGCTCTATGCCATCATTCAGTCAAATGATCCTAAAAACAACCAAGCAATCAATAAATCAATAGGACAATTCAATAAGAGCTAACACCAACTAAGCTCACATGATACTGACTATCATCACTCAACCCTCATATAACACTCAAACTGAGCAACAAATAGCAGTTAAATACAAAGAAATAACAAACTGTTCAAACAATGTCTGACTCAATTCCCATATTCTGTGCACAATTCACATCCTCAACCCCATTATTGGCAACAAAACAATTACAAGATAAGATGAGCCAAAAGGCAGAACTATATAATAAGCCACAACTTAAACAATGTAGACTAATCCAAGTGAAAACAGCACCTGAAGATAATGTTTGAATGTACTTACCAATGTTGGTTGTTCCTAATGTCCTAATTTTCCCCCTGTTCCACAACCCCTTCCATGGGTTTGTCTCCTCGGTCTCTTACTATATACTCTCTGTATATCTTGCGCTGCTGCACGTACGACTCCCTCGCCTGCTTCTGTAGAAGCTGGCTGCACATCACCAATGGGTGCAGTACAATCATTTGATACCACCTCCGGCAAAGCTTCACATACGGCACTAAGCTGTTAAACGCCATCATCCACTGCATAATTGTCATGGTCTATTGCTTGGCGTCGCCCACGCCCTCGCCCTCGGCCTCTACTTACACCACGACGACCGCCACAACCTCTACCCCTACCTGTCCCTCTGGTAGGTGCATGGACCTGGCCCTCCCCCTCCCCGTCAATGTGGAAGTCATGGGTAATGAGTGGATCAACATGGTAGGTGAAGGTTATATGTGGTGTAGGAGATGATGGTGGGGTAGGAGATGATGGTACTGTTTATTATTATTATTATTATTATTATTATTATTATTATTATTATTATTATTATTATTATTATTATTATTATTATTATTATTATTATTATTATTATTATTATTATTATTATTATTATTATTATTATTATTATTATTATTATTATTATTATTATTATTATTATTATTATTATTATTATTATTATTATTATTATTATTATTATTATTATTATTATTATTATTATTATTATTATTATTATTATTATTATTATTATTATTATTATTATTATTATTATTATTATTATTATTATTATTATTATTATTATTATTATTATTATTATTATTATTATTATTATTATTATTATTATTATTATTATTATTATTATTATTATTATTATTATTATTATTATTATTATTATTATTATTATTATTATTATTATTATTATTATTATTATTATTATTATTATTATTATTATTATTATTATTATTATTATTATTATTATTATTATTATTATTATTATTATTATTATTATTATTATTATTATTATTATTATTATTATTATTATTATTATTATTATTATTATTATTATTATTATTATTATTATTATTATTATTATTATTATTATTATTATTATTATTATTATTATTATTATTATTATTATTATTATTATTATTATTATTATTATTATTATTATTATTATTATTATTATTATTATTATTATTATTATTATTATTATTATTATTATTATTATTATTATTATTATTATTATTATTATTATTATTATTATTATTATTATTATTATTATTATTATTATTATTATTATTATTATTATTATTATTATTATTATTATTATTATTATTATTATTATTATTATTATTATTATTATTATTATTATTATTATTATTATTATTATTATTATTATTATTATTATTATTATTATTATTATTATTATTATTATTATTATTATTATTATTATTATTATTATTATTATTATTATTATTATTATTATTATTATTATTATTATTATTATTATTATTATTATTATTATTATTATTATTATTATTATTATTATTATTATTATTATTATTATTATTATTATTATTATTATTATTATTATTATTATTATTATTATTATTATTATTATTATTATTATTATTATTATTATTATTATTATTATTATTATTATTATTATTATTATTATTATTATTATTATTATTATTATTATTATTATTATTATTATTATTATTATTATTATTATTATTATTATTATTATTATTATTATTATTATTATTATTATTATTATTATTATTATTATTATTATTATTATTATTATTATTATTATTATTATTATTATTATTATTATTATTATTATTATTATTATTATTATTATTATTATTATTATTATTATTATTATTATTATTATTATTATTATTATTATTATTATTATTATTATTATTATTATTATTATTATTATTATTATTATTATTATTATTATTATTATTATTATTATTATTATTATTATTATTATTATTATTATTATTATTATTATTATTATTATTATTATTATTATTATTATTATTATTATTATTATTATTATTATTATTATTATTATTATTATTATTATTATTATTATTATTATTATTATTATTATTATTATTATTATTATTATTATTATTATTATTATTATTATTATTATTATTATTATTATTATTATTATTATTATTATTATTATTATTATTATTATTATTATTATTATTATTATTATTATTATTATTTTCAAACAATATATAGATAGACACACACAAACAAAATGGTTTAGTGATAGCAGCTGAATAGAATAGCATAGGTCTTACAGTTTCAACAAATTAATAACATGTTCTTCATCTTCCCTCTTCTCTCTCTCTATCTCTTGCTCCTCCATTTTCTCTCTTTATCTTCTCTCTTCTCTCTATCCCTCTTCCCTCATTTTTAGCTTTTTTTTTGTGTGTTTTTTCAGAAGAAACAGTTTGGAACCGTTACGTAACGGTGCTGTAACAGCCGTAACGGCCTGTTACGACCGCTACGGCAGCCGCTGCGACCGACACACCTGTGAATCTCAATCACACTGCAAAAGCGGCCGTAACGGGTGGCAGCGTTACGTAACGGTTGCGGCCGCTTTTTAAAACCTTGACTGGTTTAGTTGCTTTTGAGAACAAGAGATTTTCAAAGTTAAAGTTGATCAATTTTTATTTTTTATTTTTGATCAATCATGTCATAAAAAAATTTGAATAAATTGACAATATTATTAAATGAGACAATAAATAAGTTAGATTATGGAATTTTATTTAATAATTTTGTATCTAAAGTGTGAACAAAATAATGTTTAAATGACATTTTTCTACAATTTATTCAATTTTTATTTGGTACTACAGTTTTTATTTATTTTTTTTTATTATAATTTGGATTTCACTATCTATGTAAATAATTTTAGTATGTAATTTTGGTAGTTATATATGAAACTAAAATTTTAGTTTTTTTTTTTTTTTTTGGGTGAATATATAAAGCACTCCAATTTAAAGTTTCGTGTAATCCCTCCAAAAACTCAAGGTTAGCCCTACAATCACCGTTGCTGCCACTAACACCACCTCTATCACCACTATCACATTAATTTTAGGGTTACAACAAACCATACACAAAATTATTCTAACAATTTTTTTTTTTTTTTTTTTTTTTAAAAAAAGGATTGAAAACAAACAGTGTTAATTCATCTTTCTTTTTGCAGAATTATTGAATTTGTTAGTATGATGAAGTAAGGTCTTATGGTCAATCCTTTGATTGTTGAACCAACTCTTACGTTGTGTTTCGCCAATTTTTTTACCCATCTTTTTTTTTTCTTTTCTTTATTTTAATTTTTTTAAAAATTATTACCCAAATTCATAATCTAAATCTTCTGCTCAATTTTGTGTGAACTTTTATTTGGTAGAACTTAATGATGCTTCTGTCATGTAAATGTATTCAAACTTAAGAAATTTGATACCTGCATAGTTTGGAGTAAGTGGAGGAAATGGGACCTAAAATATATTCTTGACTTCTAAGTTCTGTCATCATCTAGTATTTTTATATATGTTTAAAGATGATTGTGGGGGAACATCACAAAGTGTAGTCGAAATGTAAGGTCACTCTGCATACTTGGATTATAGGTTCCACGACACGAGCCACGGTTAAAGATGTGTATTGTTTGGTTTAGGTTGATTTTGAGTATATTAGAAAAGGTTTGTTAGAGCATCCATAATGGATGCATTAGCGGGTGTGTTAGCGTCAGGTGTTAATTTTTGGCCAACCAAAAATACTGTTGGGTGCTGTAATGTATGTGTTAGTGGGTGTG